ATATGATTTAATTATAGTGGTGAAAGTTTTGTGCAGAACCATCCATACATTTTGAAGGGCTGAATACAGAGACCTGGTTCACTACGTGCCACAAGGTCCCCAAACAACCTTCAGCAGGTTTTGTATTCAGAGTTGTCCTTCTCCTAGACCAGTTGCCATCCATGGCTATAGAACCTAGTCTGTCCTTCCTGGTATTTACCCATAGCTGGAGGGAGGAGAAGATTCAAACCTTTCCCAAGGGTATTAGCACATAAGTGAGTGTAAGGGATTCAACTGAAATTCGAACTTGGCTCTCCGATTCCTCAATCCAAGCCACTATCCATTACTCCAATATATATATCCTATATATATATATATATATATATATATATATATATATATATATATATATATATATATGTAATGAGATATGAAGAAAGAAAGAAATTCCGATATTTTTATGTTTCTATTGCTTGATTTTCATTAGTTAAACAGGCTTTACATCCATTTGACTTGTTAAGCAGTGTTAGTAAGTTATGCCATTCTGAACTTAAGGAGAGATAACAGAGTCTTTCAAAGCTCAACAAAATAATGGATTCCAAGCCTAACTAAAAAAAACATTTCTATATGTATGTAAGTGTATCATAATTCTTGTTTGTCTATAGGGGATATATAAATATATATATATATATATATATATATATATATATATATATATATATATATATATAATAATTTTATTCTCCACACTGGGGTAGTATCTTTCAATCTCAATTAAAATACCAATCTAAACTTTCCCTTCGTGCTATTTAAAATTCACTTCCAATTGGAGAATATAAGAAATTTGGAAGAGATGTCACTAGCAGAAAATTAGGTCCTTCTTTTACAATTTCTTATCTACACATGTCTTAAACCCCTATTTGTAACCACATACCTATATCTTCTTATATGCCGATGAGTTCCTATATACACCTACACACACATTCACACGAAACGACCATATGTATATTTCCATCTTTACACATATACACCTGCAGAGAATAAAATTATTTAAATGGGAATAACTGTTGATAATTAGGTACATAAAAACAATCACGAGTTTACTTAATGAACAAAAATCAAAAACAATCACGAGTTTACTTAATGAACAAATATCAAACGAATAGATGTCAACCTAACAAGCTATAAGATAAAAGTTTTAGTGAAAAAAAAAAAATTACTAAATATAAAATGGATTGCTCTTTCAATGTTCTGTCTATGGATTTTTCCAATCGACTTTTTCATAGAAAATACCCAAAACTCCACCGAATTTCAAATTAATTTCTTTGTAGATTTTTTTAACATTTAGATATTTATCAAACCTTAACCTCCCAAATATGCACGTTAAAGTAACGCGAACTGACAGCGTCTAAGAATTTGAATGAAACCTGTTGTGTAATTTATTGGGGTTGTTGTAACGTCTTCCTTTAATGTTGTTCTTATCATTCACCCCTTAGCCACCTTTATCTAGAGACGAGACGCGTTAAATTTGAGCAACATCTAGCCAACACACTGGGGTTAAAATAGGAAACTAAAATGATACATATGACACACTCATATCCTCTCTCCCACCTCACTTCCTCACTTCGTTAACTTTGCGTATACTTGATGAGGTCCATAAAAAACGTGTGAATTTCTTTTCATTTTACATTTCAGCTTTTGGAAGTAAAGTCTGATGATCCAGAACCCTGTTAAAGGGGTTATGGTGAAATAGCTTATTGCATGGAATCTTAACATGGTCTGTCTTTTATTCAAACAAATATATATATATATATATATATATATATATATATATATATATTATATATATATATATATATATATATATATATATTAGTATATATTAATAAAATAATTAGTTTAATAGTATAATATATGTAATTAATATTATATTAGGATCGATATATAAATAATATTAATAAAAGTATATAAGCATCAACTCTTACTTATTTTAAAAATTAGATATAAATATTCTGTGTAATAATAAGTAATATATATGCAGAAATATAGAGATAATGTTAATAATATATAAATATAGATTCTTACTTATAATGCAAACATTAGACAAGTACACAGGGCAGTAGATCCCTGGAAGGACATTAAGTGTGTCTGTTGAGGCTGGGAAGTATGTTGCATCTGCTGCAGGGACAATTCAAATTTTAGAACAAACATCTCACTTGCCAATTATTTATAAGCAACAAATTGTCAGAAGACTAAAAATAATTCCTTGGAATGTTGTGGATTTCATATCATGTCTGACTTGTGCAAATAAACTGATTTCATTTCACTTTTACCACAAAATATTGTTGTCATGATCATATTTCAAGGTTAATATGTCCCCCACCCAGCACCCCCTCTCAGAAATTTCTTTTGTTTTTTACAGTAAGGTTCACCCTGTACAGGGTTTGGGGGCCACTTGAGGTAGAGGGTTAGCTTAAGGGTTAGTTTATATAGATAGGAGGGGAAGATAACAGTTGAACAGGTTAAGATTGTAGTGATTGAGGAAACATCCTCTTGGGAGTCTGTTCCACAGAGAAGTCATTTGCAGGAAGAAACTGTTTGAGTAGAACTTACATCTCACTGATGGAATACAGAGAGAATTTTGGTGGTTTGCTACTATGTAAGTGGCATGGTGGGTCCTAGTTTTGGAGGTTAGACCTGGCGGAACCAAAGAATGTAGTCCATCCAAGCACTTTTCATGGTAGTAGCGATAGAGCAGTGAGAGACTTGCCACATCCCCACATCTCACACACAAGAGAGAGGTTTGGGGGGGGGGAAATAATTCTTCTCCAACAAGGACTCTGATGCAAAAGCATATATGGTAGGTGCAAAAAGTATCTGATATAGTGAGACTTTTATTTTAATGTAGTTATAAAACTACAAGATAATATGTACTTCTTATTTTCTCTACTTATGCCCTTACCTAACTTCATTCAGAGGGAATATACAGGGTGCGATGTGTAAATTGTCGCCATTTTATATTTTTAATCTTGCACATGCATGTTGTTTGTTTTTAATTTTATCAACTACACAGTATAGTAGGGTCAGTTGGGTACCTTTTGTACGAAAAAGAGTACCGTGACTCAATTCACTCCACCAGAAATTTGGAAACGGCATGCTGTACTGCTTGGCATTCACACAGGAAGCTCCAATATGAACATTTCATTGTGTCTAGCTGTCAATCTGAGGACCGTGCAGGAAAGAGTTGGATGAGTCTAATCATGATTACAAAGGTGCGGCAGCTCAGAAACTCACTCTGATCATTCTGATAAGAAAAGACACTGAATTTGTTGGTGAGGGATTCAACATGGAGGCCTACATCAAGTGCCTTGAGGAGGTAGTGCTTCCCTGGGTCAAAAGTGTAGCTGCTGGAAGACCTTGTCTGGCAACAAGACTCTGCACCATGCTACACTAGCAGGAGAACCCCGTCACGGCTCTCAGACAATTTCTGCAACCACATCATCCCTTACATCTGCCCACCTAACTCCCCAGACTGCAACTTGATTATTATGTGCGGGGTGCAGTTGAGTGAGAGACCAACAAAACTCCCTGTAACACCAATGATGAACTGAAGGCAAGGATTATGGCAACATTCTCCAACTTAAACAAGGAGACACAGAAGATTCTGAAGTCATCTGGAGGTTGTGATTGAAGCCAGTGGTGATTTTATTGAATAAATTTTATTCTTTAGTATTTTAAGATATTTTTGGTTAATTTTGGTACATATATGTGTTAAAAATGAGATGTCAACGTTATTTACATTTTTGCATATTTTAGGCGACAATTTATCTATCGCACTCTGTACTTTTTCACTACCTAACTGCTTGCATCCACTATTTCATTCCAACAGTCTATGGTTGATTTGCTAGGCCTACTGATAATATTGGTTTGGGGAGGTGATCCTAGCATGCGACACCTCTGGAAAGTGCCTAAAAATCACATCAGGGGTTAACCCAAGTCTTGTGAGTGAAACTGGGTAGACAGATCTGTTTGGAAGATGTTGAGGCTGTTGTTACGTCAAGTCACCATAACCAAGTGCTTGAGCATACTGACTTTGGTAAAAAAAAATTGATCATGCCAAATTATGTACTCCCTCCCAGAAACTAATAAAAATCTTCTCAGCATATTTGCAGTATAAACCACAGATGCTCTGTTGTTTGAGCAGGTGTCTATAATGAGATTTCGCCCTGGAAAGCAGGTGTGCTCAGACATGAGCAGCAGTCAGCTATTATTGTTATCATTAGTTTGATCACCAAAAAACATGAAAAAGCAATTTGAATATCAGAATTGCAGATTATCAGAGATTCATGTAAAATTTGATTCAGTCACATTACTTGTATTTGTCATCATAAAGATTGTAGCTTTATTTGACAAATTTATGTGCAGTACTAAATTGGCAGTTATCTCCCCTAATTTCACTGTTTAAATTGATAGTTATATCCATAAGTTCGATGAGAATAGTTTCTTTTCTCACACTTCTTGCTTGTAGAACTCTTTTCTGCTTTCCTGTCAACCATGATCTTCAAAAATTTAAATGCAATGCCAATCATAATTTCCTGTCTCCTTGAACATTGTTCTTTTATTGTTCTTTCTATTTCTTTTACTGTCAGTAACCCCTTGCATCTTAGTGGCATTCATCACCTTGATTGGAGGGAAATGATTAAAAAAAGAATGATTATAAAAATGAGAAAGAATAAGATGCCAGTTTCCAGAAATTGTTATATTTAGATACTGAAGTCTGCTAAGGTATGTTCAGTTTGAAACACAAGGCAAGGATTCCACAGATCCCAACCAATCAAAATGCTTCCTCCCCATACACATCATCATCATCATCATCGTCACAATAGGCAGTAATAAAGAGGAAAACTGAAGCAATGACATGAAGTGTTTCTTTGTAAAAAGAGAATCTGTACTGAATGATAATTCTTGTTTCCATCTGGTAAAGAAACATAAGCAAGAATGAATGACCAGCCTCCTTGTGATCACCAACCGTGTGGAAAGATATATGTAAATCTATAGTCTTGCAAATATTCAGAAAGGAAAAAGATGAAAAAAAAAATAGGATCCAGAAAGAACGAAAAAGAAAAATGAAAGAAAAGTAAAAATGAAAGAAAAAGCAAAAAGAATGAAAAGGAAATGTAAAAATGAAAGAAAAATAAACAAGAATGAAAAAGAAAAAAAAGAGAAGGAAAAAAATGAAAGAAAATGTAAAAGAAAGGAAAAAGAAAGGAAAGAAATGAAAAGAAAAGGAAAATGATAAGGAAAGAGAAAAGAAAGAAAAGGAAAAGAAAGAAAAAAGAGAAAGGAAAAAGGAAAGAAAAAGGAAAAGAGACAAAACAAAGAAAAAGAATGAAAAAGAAAGACAAAGAAAAAAATGAAAAAGAAAAGATAAAATAAAAATAAAAAATAAAACAAATGGAAAGAAAAGAAAATGTAAAAAAAAAAGAAAAAGAAAGAAAAGAAAAAAAGCAGGAAAAAAAGAAAAAAATGAAATAAGGAAAAAAGAAAGAAAAAAGAAAAGAAAACAAAGAAAAAACAGAAAAAGAAAAGAAAAAGAAAAATGGAAAAATAGACACTGATGTCAGACTCCTATCTATGTATTTAATAGAAAAGGTGAATGTCAGAAAAGTAAAGACCATTACTGACAAAACAAATATATGAAAAACAGCCTAAACTACAAAGATTATAAGAGTGAGAAGTTGTGAGATGACAACCAAAATTTGTATCATATATCTTGCATTCCCCATCATCTCTGACATTTATAAAAAAAAACACAAAAAAACCTGGTTACCAGCTTGTGTTGTATCCTATCACTACCCAGAAAAAGATTCACTGCAGGTTTGGGGGTGAAAACAATTATATACTAGGGTAACAGGAGATGCTAGGTAGATATTCATAGTTTCTTCTATCCTATTCTTTCCACATGTAAGTAGGCTCAGGCTTTTTTTGTTTGTTTATTTTTAACCAAAAGCACTTTCTTATATTTCTACTGATTTAAAGATTTTTTTGTCAACTTCTGCAGGTAACTCTCAGATTTCTAATAAAGTGCATTAAACAGAAATTCAGTAATTTGACAATCTCAAGAAAAAAAAAAATGATGGCAGTTAGCAACTTATAAAATTGCTAAAGATTTGGAAATCTATGAGGGGATGGTGAAAAGTTTTGGGCTCAACCAAGAAAAGGTTTTAAAAAATACCTGATTTTAGGAGGTGGAAAGAAATTTTCAGCACCTCCTCATAAAACTCTTTGTGAGAAAAGTTACATGAATTATGTAAATTACTGCTCCAAATTTATAAAATCAAATGAAAGATTTAATAAAATATTATCATTTTTTGTACCAATAAAGTAGAATATAACAAAACATGCAAATCTATATATGTCGAAGGGGCTCTTAACTCAAAATTACTAAAATAAAAAACATGTATCAAGACAGTAGTGATAACAATACAATTAACATTTATATATGCACAATCAAGCTTTTAGCCTTAGATTATAAAATTATTGATTACTTTTAAATTATCAATTTTGGAATAGTAGCTTTTTAGGTAATCAATATAAGAATAATAATTTCTTAGGTCATCAATATTTGAATAATAATTTTCTAGGTCATTAATATTGGAATAATAACTTATTAAGTCATCACTATTGGAACAATAACTTTTTTATACCATCAATATTTGAATAATAAGTTTTTAGCTCATCAATATTAAAATAATGACATTTTAGGTCATCAGTATTGGAATAATAACTTTTTAGATCTTCAATATTGGTGTAATAACATTTTCAATCATCAGTATTGGAATAATAACTTTTTAGATCTTCAATATTGGTGTAATAACATTTTCAATCATCAGTATTGGAATAATAACTTTTTAGGGCATCAACATACTTTATGAATTAAACAAAATCAAAATTTTTGCCTATCCTATGAATAAAGTTCTGTAAAGTTTGCAACTGATTTCAATTTGTCATCTCACTGTTCAAGTGTCCCTTAATACTCACAGTATTCCATCTTTGTGACTTGGGACATGGTTTTGTAGGCTATTAGCCCAGCTATCTCATAAGTACATATGACAGTAAGCCTGCAGGAAAAGGTGATCCTATTAACAATGATTGCAATGAGATGTTATTCAAGAGTAAATAGTAAAGGTAATAGTTAGATCTCAAGATTTATGATTTAAAAAGAAAAAACTTGAATGAAAATTCTTCGTCTCATGATAAATTACTGAACAGCTACATTCTTTAATGAGTTGGTAAGTTTTTTGTGAGTCTTCAGAGATGCATGTGATTTAGTTTATGCTAAAATAGTGGAAGAAATTATACAGAATGATCCTGATTCAACCAGAGGAATCTATATACAAAGTCTAAGTAAAAAGTATCAGGAACATTGCTATAGTAACAGAACTAAAGTATGCAGAGTGAAGCTGCTTGACACAGATTAACTTTGAACTCTGTCATGCATACACACTAAGTTATAATGTTCTTGCTAACTTCTGTTAGGAAGGAAAGTGTATAGGGTGTGATTATCTCCCCACACCACAGAGGTTCCATCAGTGATCATGACTTGGGCAGCAGTTTTTGGCAAAAGACAACATTACCCAAGTCTGACAACCACCATATTCCTCAGATTTCACCACTTGTGACTTTTCTCTTTTCAAAAATCAAAACCCACTTGAAAGGAACAACATTTCAAAATATCAAGGAAATCCAAGAGAATCTGATGAGGCAGCTGCTCACTATACCAAAAAAAGGATGTAATATCATATGCAAATTAGATAGACAAGTATAAATAGAGAACAACTGGTGAACATAGGGACAGCTATAACTAGTGAATCCGTTTGCTATTCTGGACACAGAGAACTGTACTACAACTACTACTATGCAGATAAATATATAAAACATAACAAAGGAGTCTCAGGAATACATCCATCAATGGAAACAACACTGGATAAAGTATGTTGCTTCAGAAGAGGACTATTTCAAAGAAGATTAAATGTTGACTGAATATGTGCTCTAGTTTTCTTTTTATAGCACCAGTCCCAATATTTTTTTATCAGACCTCATGCCTAACAGACACCATTGCAAATAATTAAAAGAAATAAAATATATGTAAATTAGAGTGATTAAGATAGATTAGAATGAAATGAGTAGGTATTAAAAGAAAATTATCTTAAAATTATTGATGAAAAATAAATACAACCACTGAATGACAGGTTATTTGGTGAGAGCTATCTTATAGGAGTGTGCAATGTAGAGATATCAACAACAAAAAAATGATGATTGAGAATATTTAAACACTAATAGTACTGAAATAAATCTATGTAATTTAATAACTGTGTATTTGGGCAGCAATACCTATTTTATACAAGTTTCATTATAAGAGAGATTGCTGCCCAAATACACAATTAAATTACATGACCCAGCAGCCAACAAGGAAAATAACACTACAACATTCAGAAAAACACACTGTTTTATGACAAATAACATGATTTTATGACAAATAACATGATTTTATGACAAATAACATGATTTTATGACAAATAACATGATTTTATGACAAATAACATGATTTTATGACAAATAACATCAGCTAAAAATGAAAATTGCAGTACCTTGTCAGTCAAATGAAATTATATAAAAGATATATATAATATATATATATATATATATATATATATATATATATATATATATATATATATATATATATAAATACTTAAAATTCCATAGAATATCAAACACTTAAAATTCATGAGAGCTATCATTATTATTACCTATGGGATTTTAAGTGTTCTTTAATTAATAATAATTTTGCTCTGTCTTTTGACATAGAGCTCTCCCTAGATCTATATCCTCCTGGAAATTCCATACAGATTACCATATTGTATCATTACTATATATATGTATAATATATATATATATATATATTGTTTCATGAAAGAACTTCTCCAGGTAAAACACAGTTCTTATTGATGTAAATGTGCTGTAAACACACACACATATATATATATATATATATATATATATATATATATATATATTAGGTTTGCTCCACTTAGTGTATTGAGCACTTTATGTAGTTACTTTTGCTTTACTCGTTTTGGAGGTTTTTTTCTTTGGACTCTGAGCTTGAATTCTGGACGATTGTTTTTGCCTCAATTTCATGTTCTTAGTTCTTTCTTTTTTTATCCCTTATTTTCCCTTTGGCATTGGTTTGTTCAATTACAAGCCAAAATACCTAAGATTTTTCCAAACGACTACCACTATTTATATTTATTTAAACAAGTACCACTATTTATATATATATATATATATATATATATATATATATGTGGAGGCAAATTGGTACAAGAGATAAAACAAATGCCAATTACAGTTCACATCAAAATGGTAACATACATTTTTGTGACTGGGTATTAATGGGTTATAGAATCTGTCATTTTTTATTAATTATTTACCAAATACAAGGCTCAAGAGCCACTTAGAATAGAAAATGATTGAATGAGGTTGTTGTATAAATGTGAAATGGAGAAGTAAGTGCAGATTATGAGGATAGGTAGGATGGATGAAGGTTGACCCTAGACTTGAAGAGGTTAAGTTTGTAGTGATTGGGGAAGCATCCACTCAGGAATCTGTTCTACAAAGAAGCTGTCTGACTGGAAATTATTTCTTACAAGTAGAGTATGAAGGAAATGAAGATATTTCGATCCTGTGTATGTGGTATGGTGGGTCCTAGTTGTAATGGTCTAAAATGGTTGAACTAAGGAATGTAGCTCATCTGGATATTTCCAATGGAATTAGCAATAGAGTAGCGATAGGCTTCCGACATTTTATTTGGGTGAAAGGCTGTATTGTTTAAAATAATTCATCAACCACATGGCCGCATAAACACTTTTGAACTTTGTCAAAGCTGGGAAGAAAAGATTGAGTATCTCCAGCCGAAATATGGCAGCAATACTCCATTCTCGCTCCAATATGATTCATAAATATTGAGGTTATCGGAGTAGTCAGTGACTTTCTGGAGTGGTATAAGGGGCCGACTATTATTTTCTAGCACCTAAAGCGATGGAACATATATATGCATTCTATTTAAGGTCTGGTGTGAACTTGAGTAACAGTAAACATTCAAGGCAAGGAGCCTCATTCAGAGTATTGTGGTCTAAACAATACTTGGTATGATAATGGCTGCTCTCAAAATTAGAGACAGTAATGTTATCAAAAAGAGCGATACAAATACAGAAGGACATGCACCTATGTTTCATAGACTACGCAAAGGCCTTCAACAAAGTACGCCACAAGGATCTGCTGGAATTGCTCAGCAACCTTGATATATTCAAGAAAGATATCAGAATAATCAAGAACCTATACTGGTAGCAAACAGCATGCATGCCCATAGGGAACGAGTTCAGCGCATATACATAAATAGAAAGGGGCGTAAGGCAATGATGCATCTTCTCATCCGAACTGTTCAACTCATACAGCAAGGCAATCCTGATAGAATTGGAAACCCTGTCGAAATTTAGAATTGGCGACCATAATCTTAACAACATAAGATACGCAGATGATACAGTATTGATAGCAGACACGGAAAAGAAACTATAAAATCTCCTACAGAAGATAGCGACGGAGAGTGAGAAGA